CTTTGATTCCAGGATCGGCGGCTGGAAGGCGGGGTTCCGAAGGCTAGAGAATCAGAGAGCACGGGTGCGAGGGAGACACAGATTGCGTCGCGGTGCGATCGATAGCCTCCTGGCCGCCAATCCGGTTGAACCAAAGGGTACGTACGCTCTCAACATTCCGTATTTTTCTTAATTTCGAAACCGTCGTCGTGGAGCGCAAATCTTCACTTGTACAGTGCAAGGTCCAAATAATGCTTCACACTTATAGGCATTTCTCATAAGTTTTGTTCTCGACGTGATCCAGCCTCTTAGGTTGTGCTCGGAAAAATATTCACATTTTATTTATGTTCAAAATATAGAATTCACTGAGGTCATCAGCGTCATAATTTGTAAACGCAATAATTTTCGCGCTCCGAGGACAACGGGGACCACAGGATATACGAAAATCATGCTCAATCAAACTTTGACATTATGCAAGATAGGCTAATCGGAAGGCCATCTGCTACTGTTCAGGAATCGAATTATTCGAGTCACCCCATTTTTCTGATATCCAGAGAGCTGTTCGCACATTGATTTGAGGTCCAATCAGTGGATTCAGCTGATGCAGGTAGATCTGAAGTGATAAAATCAACCCTTTTTCTACAGTATGAAAAATTGTACCATGATCCACATTAGCCAACAACATACAGCCGTCATTATAATCATGATTCGAATGGTTCCTGAAACAGAATAGGAAGTAGTGAGACACCATCTGTGAAAAAACTCCAAAAGTGACTTCGTAAAAGTAAAAAATCTCCAAACCCTGATTAGGTCCTCTTCGGACAAGAAACGGACCACCGGCGCCGATGAACAGCCAGAATGCCGTCACAGAAACGAGCGGGATTACACCCATCTGAATACTATATTTTCGCCCTCCTCCATTACTGTGAAATTTGGCTCAAGAGAAAATTTTCAATTTGATCATATGTTATTATCAAGGCTTTGAGTGAGCAAAAATGGAAGAAAATATTCCAAATAAAAACAAATTAATTTCTCAGTTTCAACACAAGTAAACAAATTTTGGAAATCTTGGAAAAGGAGGTAAGGTTTCCGATTTACCAAGAAAATGAAAAGGAAAGGATATAACATCGAGGTTCAAAAAACTCAAATCAAACTAATTCAGTGATAGAATCTAATTATAATGCGGAAAGTAAAAATTTATTACAAACAACTGTTTTTGCAGGAAAAAATGGCCTTGCAAAAACAATTTGCATTGCTGTAAAGAATGGCATTCCTATACAAACTAATGTAAATTTCGTAAAAGCTACTGGAGTATCGATAATCTGCCAGAGTCTGACAGATAGACATTATAAGATAAGAGCCATTTGTAATAAAAACCACACTGTTTTCATGCCAAAACCGTCGCTTGTAATGAAGATAAGCTAAGCCACTGCAAAAGTTCTAAAAGTCTTTCTCAATACCTGACAATCCTTTGTAATCTCGCTCATAATTTTATTGACGGCTTTTTACTATATTTTTCCAG